CCTTCTTCCATAAAAACCCTAGACCCACAATACTCGGGCCTCCGTTCCTCCACCCAATCCACCAATCCCCTGAAATGCTCCTCTCTGTCCCCCTCCACCACAATCTCATGAACCAAATCCGAAAGCTCCTCGATTCCCATGGCCTCCACTTCTCCCACTTCCAACGAACCGTAGGGGATGGAAAGCACGTTCCCAAAATAAACATTCATTTCCGGCGAACCTAGTCCCCTCCTGCCGTCCACCACCACGCCCATCCGGGTAACTTCACCCCTCTTTCCACACCGCCCTATAAGCTTCCATAAGTAAGCCGTAAACGCCTCGATCTTAGTCCGCCGCCGCCGGCCTTCAGAGCTCGCGATTGATTGAAGCCGGTTGATTTCGTCAGCGGCGATGTAGTAGAGGCGGTTGATGGCTTGCGGTTCAGGTTTCTCGATTTCTGGTGGTGGTGGCGGCGGGAGCTGGGAGATGGGGACATACAACCGGTCAAATTTGAATTTTGGTTCGAGCAAACCGGATTTGGTGGACCGGCCGGGATTAAGCAGTGAGCGGTCAAAGATTGGGTCGATCGGTACTTCTTTACAGGCCGCCGTCTCGGCCCATGCTATAAGAAACATGTGAAACGTGTGAGCATCCGATATGCGGTGGTCAAACACACAGCCCAGCACTAACCCCCCGCATTTCATCTCTGTGGCCTATCAATCATTATACATAAAGAAAAAATATTTGAAGATTTTCTCATTTCTTTTACGTGGCCTATCAAGAAAAAATATTTGAAGATTTTCTCATTTCTTTTATATATAATAATCTAGAAAATAAAAAAAATGATAATGAAACCTGAACAGTAAGAACGCTGTGTTCATCTTTCTTGGGGACCAGCTTCCGCTCAACACTTCCATCGACATCATAAAAATCTACCTGATGGAGCTCCACATCCGCGCAAGCCTCAATGAACTCCACGCCCCGATTATTACACAGCAACTCCGGCTCGCCGGCGGCGTTCTCCACCACCTTGCCTGCGAGGGGGTAGTAGACGAGCAACACCTTGGCAAGGGAAGACTTGAGCTTGGCGACGAGGGAGGCGAAATTGCTGGCAGGGATAAGTAAAGGAGGCGGCTTTTTGAAGCAGAAGAAGACTCCGACTTCTAAAGGAGGAAGAAGAAGGTCGAGGTTAGAGAGAGGAAGCAAATGTTCCTCCCGCGATTGGCCTTCTGCTGCGATTAGCTCTTTGTGGCTAATCTTAATGCTGTATTTCTCCGCCGTGTTTCCCTCCATTTTCTTGTTTTTTTTGCTTTAATTTGTTGTTAGAATGGGATTCGTTAGCTCCTATTTATAATAGGGATTGGATTAACGTAGAGATGAGGATTCAACACCTCATATATATATATATATATATATTGATGTTTTTGCTCAACATTCTTATAATGGTTGGCTCAAATTCCAATGTCATTTTAGCTTGACAAGTTTGGGTGTGGTTCATGCAGTCGTCTTCGTCGAATTTGGTCATACTTACTTTGACTTGAATGTCAGCATTTCGTTGGATAAATGTGTTTCTTGGTTTTCTGTCGATGAGTCCTTCTTTGTTTTCATTTCTCCTTTCTGGACCTTTTGATCTTCCCATGATAAGTGTTGACGCATTTTTCATGTAGGAGATGACATTTGTGTCGTTTTGTCTCGAGTTTGTAGGAGCATCGGGCAAATATATAAGACTAAACTAACTATTGCCTTCTCTTTCTGTGCGTACGCATGTATGTATATAGAACAAAATATAATAACTTTATATAATTTAAATTGAATATTGTTTAATAAAATTGGATCTTGAAATTAAAAGACTTCAAGTGTTTTACAGTGTATAATAATTATTATGAAATCATTACCTTTAAATTATTTTGATAATTACAAGTGATTTTTTCAAAGAAATTTTATTGAACTTATCATTTGCATTAAGAGCCTTTCATAATCGACAAATGGCAGTTCAAATACTGGGTAAGAGATTCTAATTAGTGGCTCCTAATTATTTAATATCTTCAGGAAATATGTTTGATTATGAGTTGTGAGATCCCCACTTCTTCATTAGAATTTATTAAGTGAATACCTGCTTTGATATCTGTGTCCATTTTTGATATTTTTCCATTATTTTTCTTATCTATATAAAAAATAATAATTAGAGTCCCCATAATCACACATTTGGTGAATAAATTCTTATATATCATGCCTTAAAATTGAGCATTCAGATCATCTTGTTTGAATTTCTCCTAGTGATTATCTTAATATAGGAAAGCATATATATATTAAAAATTTTATACTTATTAATATCAAATGATATAATATATAAATTTTATATATATATATATATATATATATATATATTTACAACGGATTTATAATCACTTTTATAAAAAAGCTGCAATTGTCGCAAATTGCTTTTATCTAAGCAAAAAAATTATAATTTGAGTTAACTTTTATGACAATATTGCATACATATATTGCATACATACTTTGCATCAAAATTAGCTTAATTATACAAAGATTTATCTATACGAATGATAAAAATTAAGTTAATTGAGGGATAGATCAGTGTGAGAATAATATATTATGTTTATCAAATGAATATTTATAAAGTCTCTTCATCCTTTCAAGTATAAATGCCCTCATGGGACTGGAAAAAAATACTAATAAGAATATAATTTTTTACGGTTCGCATCTTTGTAGGCTCTAGTTTATTCTCTAGAAGAAAATTAATTGATGTTATTATGTATCAGTGGAATTGTGCACCAAAAATGTGTTAGCATTAGTCTTGAGAGAATCTGATGTTTCGATAGAGAAGAAGAACAGACTACACTGACAAGTAGATCAAAATCCACCGACCAGCTATTATCAGCTCGAAAGAACTCCACCTGATGGATCTCGGTCCAATTCACAGTCCCTACCTTCAGCTATCTTGCCCACGAGACCCAAGACTTATCAGCCTGACTGATCAGCTTTGCCTAAAGTACAGATTGGTTGATAGGCACCTCCAACTCGGAAGGACCAACCGACGACATTATTGATCTCATAAGTATTCATTTAAAGTTTTATTATATATTTATGATGACAATTGGTACTTAATGAGTACACGACTTCTTACACTCTCAAAACATTTGTGAACTTTATTTATTATTTTCATAAATGCAATATATTTCTTATAATGATAACTTTTAAGATTGCTTATAATCTTTAGAATTAATCATGATCTAATTTACAATTGAGCTAAACTATTGCATTGTTATTTTTTTGAATGCTTATATGCACTAATTATAATGGTAATGAAATTTGTTAATCTCAATTTTGTTATGTGTATAATATTTTTCTGATTAATTACTATGGTGGCATTTTTTATGTGATATGAATGATTTAGGAGGTATAAATGTAGAAATTGGAGTTTAGTTATTAGAAATGTAAATGCACAAGAATTCAGTGGTATGTTTATAAGTCTTCCTTTCAAAATATATTTACCAACTTCAAAGGAGCTTAAAAAAATATTGTAATTCATTTCCATTCTACATTTTCATAATGGTAAGTATGGTTGTGATTTTAACAAATGAAACTTAATTTTTGTTTAACCAACTTGCAAAGTTTTTGCACGCCCGAGGTCCAGAAAGTAGCACACCCTGACAACACAAGACTTGATAAAATGATGTGAATTTGTTTTGTATTATCAAAATAAAATATTATACACAAGCAATAGCTAGACAAGAAACAAAATATAAATTTTATTTCATTTTATAAATAAGAATACATTAACAATAAATATTGCTTAAGGATAAATAAAAACTGATTGTACATAAAAAACAGTGTCAGCATCGTGTTGGCACCCATTCTTGATGTAGCATATACTGGGTGTCCTTTCTGAGTGACATGGAACTGTATTGGAATCACACGTGGCCTACTGTGACTCGAAGAGCCCTTAGGACCTTTAAGAGAATGCTTTGGGCACTATAATTGGAATGACACGTGGCCTACTGTTGCGTTCATGCTCGAAGACGATTGTTGTCGAGCAGGCATCGCTGTCGATATCCTCCATTTTGATGTTCGTTCCTGCGACACGGGGTTATACCTTGTCAATACAAACACTCTCATGACGTAGACCATTGATGGAATTACTCCACAACGTGTTCATGCCTTAAGTCTAAGGCTTGGATAGACGGATTTCACGTTAGAACTGTTCTTACCCGGTGACACGCATATGGAGCATTTTCTAGAGCTCTTAAGATGCACTTATGACCCCTGCAGGGGTCCGGGGATCACAACTCGCTCATATCTAATCCACTGAAGGTCCCACGAGGCTAGAAACCCCTTTGACGAGTTTTTCTGAAAGCCTAAGTTATGAAGGGTCTGGCATGACCACGCCAAATT